CCGCTGTCATGTCCAGCTCCAAAACGGTCCTCCGACCGGCCACCGGAGCAGGGGCGGGCCCAGGCCAGCCCACCGTGCAGCACATCATCCACCAGACTATTCAGGTACTGCGTTGTGCACCAATAACATCTTTTTGTGTATACGTGTGTATATAACACGTCTTTCACTTTGCCTCCACAGTCTCGCCCGGCTGTGACGACATCCACGTCTGTGCTTCCCACCGTGGTGGCACCCATTTCAGCCACGAGGACCCAGTCTCCCGTCATCAGTCCCACCGCCACGCACTCTGCAGAAGTGGCTCACGGGTAAGATGACACCGCCGCCTGTCCTCATTTGCGAACGTGCGGTCACCTTCTGTCAACATTCAAGTTGCTCTTCCAGGCGTCCCGGCCTGACCATTCACCCGCCGCCGGCCAGCATCAGCATCCAGAGGCCTCAGACGTCACGTGACACGGCCACGCGCATCACGCTGCCGTCGCACCCGGCCATCGGCGCTCAGAAACCTCAGCCGCCGCACACCATGGCGCAGGTTACTCGCCTCCATGACAAATGAAATAGTTTTTCATTTCTGAGACAGAAAATGTGAAGGCTCTGTTCTGACCTCACAGAAGCCCATCTTCAGTACCGTCACACCAGTCGCCGCGGCCACCGTGGCGCCCATCGTTGCCACCAACACGGTGCCCTCGACCACCTCTATAGGTACAGATTCAAAATCACAAGAAAGACACAACTGCCAAAAAGTTTTGGGATGTTGGGCTTTTCAGGTGAAATTTCCCAATAATGCAAAAACCGTGTGTGCGCGTTGGCGTTCAGGTTCCATGCCGCACACCCAAATGAGCAGTAACACTATTGTCACCATGACGATGGCCTCCCACTCGTCGCACGCCACCGCCGTCACTACCTCCGCCATCCCCGTCGGTGAGTTGGGTCTCCCTGGTTATTTTGGCATTCCCACTTTCCCTCACTTTCACCTCACCTCGGTGTCGCCCGCAGCCAAAGTGGTGCCTCAACCCATCGCCCACTCGTCATCTCGCGTACAGCCCGACTACCCCGGGGAGAGGGCCAACCTCATCCCCATCCAGGGCCATCGCTCCTCGCCCAACCCTGTCACCATGGAGCCCAGAAGTGACAACAGGTGAACTAAACTGTCAGACTTTTGGCGAAACATCATCTTTGCTATATTGGGGCAAAGTATCACCCGCGGGTCACAACATTGATCAACTAAAGATTAAATAAATAAAACAAATAAGTCACTGCCGTGGGTGTTTATACCTGTCAACTGGTATCCAAACGTCAAGCCCGGTTCTGAATAGATGGCGACGTTTCGCTTTGGAAATGTGGCTAGCACAACTTTTGAGTGGAAGATAAATATCTTTGAATGAATCTTGGTTTATTTTGTCAATTATGAGGGAATCATATTTGAATTGAACAGAGTATATGTCATGGTCGTTGTTAGAAAGTGTGTGTCGTACTTTTGAGAAACGGGCACCCAGTTCATGGAATGAATGATGAACACAATGTAAAAAAAGACACTAAACTCGAGCCATAGTTTTGTGGTTGTTTTTCTGCAAATAAATTATGTTGCCATCAAAAGCTTTTACAAATGATGTGACCATTTTTTAAAAACTATTTTGTTGTTATCGAAGTGGTGTTGTGTCTGTCTTTTCATGTACAGGTGAGCAATGCTACTGTATGTACAGGCTAACCTTTTTGGTCTTTTAATTTTCAAGGCCCCCCGTTCCGGTCCAGTTCCAAAGCCCAGGTCTGGATAGATGGCGACGTTGTTTCGCTTTGGAGATATGGCCAGCACAGCTTCTGAGTGGAAGATAAAGATCTTGAAATGAATCTCGGCTTGTTCCGTCAATTATGAGGGCGTCATAATTGAATTGAACAGAGTATATGTCATGGTCGTTGTTAGAAAGTGTGTGTCGTACTTTTGAGAAACGAGGACGGAGTTCATGGAATGAATGATGAACACCATGTAAAAAAAGCCACTAAACTCGAGCCATGGTTTTGTGGTTGTTTTTCTTCTGCAAATAAATTATGTTGCCATCAAAAGCCTTTACAAATGATGTGACCATTTTTTAAAAACTTTTTTGTTGTTATCGAAGTGGTGTTGTGTCTGTCTGTGTATGTACAGACTAACATTTTTTGTCCTTTAATTTTCAAGGCCCCCCGTTCCGGTCCAGTTCCAGTATTTCCTGCCGACGTACTCGTCGTCGTATCCCTTGACTCACACCTACACCCCCATCAGCAGCTCTGTGTCCACTATCCGTCAGTATCCTGGTATGAAGCACCACAAACGTGTACACCCACCCCCAAAAAATGAGTCAATTTTTGATTTCTCTAAAAGAGCTAATATCAGCCAATTCAAATCGGCCTGCTGATTAATTGTTCGAGCCGTGCCATTAACATAAAGATATGGGAAAAAATTAAGACCAAAAACATTGGACCGTTTTTTTTTTTCTACTTTGACTTAAAAGTGTCTCCTCCTTCCCAAGTGACTCCTCAAGCTCCAAGTAACGCGCTGCCTACCCAGGCTGGCGTCGGGGTGGCAACCACCGTGCACCTCAACCACATGCAGCTGATGGCAGTGGACCGCATTGGCCTGCCGTCGGCGCAGATCAGCACCCAGGGCATCCAGCCGACACCCATCGCCACGCAGGGCATTCAACCGGCGCCCATTGGCGTGCAGGGCCTTCACCCAGGTACGGCGACCATCGGCGCGCCGGGCCTCCAGCAGGGTGCCGGCACCGCTCAGCAGCAGCAGCCGCCCACCGAAGCAAAATCCGGTACCGTGTTCCCTTGAATATTTATAGTTCATTATTCATAAATTCACATTTCATCCGTGGAATCTAACACCAGCTATTGACTGCAAAAAAATAAATATGAAGGTTTTTTTTCCTGCTCTTTCTGCTAATATGCTTCATAGGAAAGTAGTACAGTAATTGGTTTCCAAGGATTACATGACTCAAGCTTTTAAACCCCATCTAGGCGTGGTCTTGGCCGACAGCTTTGTGGCTAACCCGATCAGCGGCACCACTCAACCGGTTGGCACCATGGTGCAGACTCATGGCCAGGCAGGGGCGCCCACCCTGGTGTCCTCGCCGAGACCCAGCATCCTACGTAAGAAGCCGACCACCGAAAGGTAAGAGAGGCAAAGACGTTTGCCAGATCTTAATGTGCACATTTTGGTACTTTTTCTTCTGTTTACGTATATTGAACTCGCAGTTGTTTACATAAAAATTCAGGTAAACTACTAGACACTATACATAAATGTTCTATATCGTTTATCGCATTTGGTCTAGATCTACTCCGTCATATTTCATGCCTATAGACATCTCATTTCCAATACTGACATCAGATGTAATTAAATACAGCTAATTTACAAATTTACATTTTATTATATTCGTCGACAGTATAGTATACCATATGTACATCATATTTAATATATTTCTCATACTTTATTTTTTTCGTTTTCAGTTGTGTTCGGAAGACCCTCATTCCCGCTCAGCCCAATGAACCGAGCAGCATCAGAATTGAGAGCGGCGTGAGAGGGGCCAGTTCTCCCCGACCCGCGGGGTGAGCTTCAAACCATACGAGCCTGGCTAAAGCTTAGCTTAGCTTTTAGTGTGAATATATGATAGAGGTGTGCTGTGGTTGTGGGAACTTGGTTAAGCTAACTGCATATGTGTGCAAATAGAGTTGCGCTGAGTTCATATTAGCTATTTAGAGTTAACTTTTAGGTAAAATTTAGGTGTCATGTAGTCCTGGTAGCTGGCTAATGCCAACTTTAACTGTAAAAAAGAGGTGATGCTATAGTTGTGGTAACTGGCCAATGGTCACTGTAAATTCGAAGTGTGTTCGAGCCGTGCTAGCCTGCTATAGTGAACTATATGAAAAATAGTAGTCAGCCAACTAAGAATGAATATTTCAAGGTGCCATGTGGCCATGCTAGCCGGTCAATGATGACTGTATTTGTAAAATAGAGGTGCGCTAACTGACTATTGCTGACTATGTAAATTACCACTGTATTCTGGCCGTGCTAGCGCGCTTAAGCTAACTGCTTTTAAAAAAATTGAGATGCTTTGTGGTTAGGTAACATTTTCTATATTCGAGGTAGGATTTTTGTCATGTTAGCTTACTAATGCTAACGCTTACCTGATGTGTAAAATAAAGTTGCGATGTGGTCGTGCCGTGCTAACTACCCAAAGCTAACACTGTCCATGGAAAACAGAGGTGAGCTAACTGTGTATGTAAACTTCCACAAGTTGACCATTTTTAGCCAGGCTGGAAAACAGTTCTGATCACACTTTGATCTTTCTCCCCTTAGAGTCAAACCCAAAGCTGAGGTACACATGGCGGTGGCCCCTCCCGTCATGGCCGCCGTGGATGCGCTTCCCCTGCCGCAGGGTGGCGAGCAGCAAGCGATGGCGGCATCGGGCGCCCCGCACCTCGCTCAGGCCCTG